ACCACAAGCACCCGCCGCCTCCGACTGGCAAGCCTGAGCCTCCTGCTCCCAAGCCTCAGCCTCCGCACCAGAGTCGTTGATGGATGTCCTGTCTGAGTCGAACAAGTCTTCTGGCCTGTGAGGTCTTGATCGAGATCTCGAGACAGCATCGCGACAGATGTGGCATCATGTCAGACCAGGAGAAATAGGATAGGATAGGAGGATAGGAGGATAGGAACGGACCAAGTTGGAAGACACTGGCACTGGCAATTTCATATTGATCGTTCCGTTCAGAGTGTCGCTCATTGTTTTTTTTCTTTTTTACCTTGATTCTTGTCTCTCTTTTAGTGTATTAATTTACCAATTTAGCAAGTTAGCAATTTTCCTTGACTAAAGATCAAAAAATTGTTTCTTTTGATTTTGCCCTTCCTGTTAGTATTTGCATATTCTTTCTTCATTGGAGCTGAACTTCGTTTGGAATTTGCATTTTTGGCTAGTTATCTGCCACTTGTAATTTTTGTACGCCCTATTCATCTGTGAAAATAAGCAAATTATGCACCGGAGACAAAGGATAGAGAGGGAAGCTGGCCGGCTGGCCACATTGATTTTGGGGTATAATTTAATTAGTCTGTTTTCTCATCCTTTGATATTGCTTCGTTATCACTGTTTCTTTATCATACTAGTCTGCGTGACACCATGCAGGTTGAGCTTCTGTTGGAAGAGCATGTGTGGCCGTTGACCTGATTGTCTAGCCCCCGTCAGCGCGCCTCTGTCCATGATCGACGCCACCATTGCTGATTTCCCCCCTTGCTAGGCGGTGATACTGTACGATGGAAACCGTGGTCCCAGCACAATATAACATTTGATCATTTGAAGTCAGCTTTGTAGGAGATACTGGACGCACATCCCCAATAGTGAGGACGTCTGCATCGAAGCCTCTACCAGCCCGGCATCGTCAATCTGGTATATAGCAATTAGCACAGGGCAGAAAGCAACTGGCTTTAAATCCAAGCGCAGAAATGCCAAGTTAGGTATATATAGGCATATAATCCGCTTGATCTGCGACAATTTCAGTCATATTTCAGAGGAATATAGCGCGATCTATCGCTGCTGGGGCAATGCATTGTCACTAAGAATCTGCTGCGTATCAGAATCTAGTCCTTAGAAGAGATATAGAGACACAAACCGAGTCAATATCAGAACTTATAAAATTCGTTTATAACTGCGACATAGGTGTTCTTCAGCTGGTTGCTACTTACAAAAGGATAGGAATTAAAAGCACACTAAGCCGAATTGGGAACAACTCACCTGCCAGCAATAATGGCCGACTCGAAGTCTTGCAACACTCCCATGGTATTCGTCGACGGATAGACAGGTTTATCCAGGCATAGCCATAAATCCACTCGTCTGCTCATTATTCTGTCAACAAGATCGATATATCTGCGTATTGTTTTGGTCATGTCCAGCCACATGCTGCCGTCACAATTAAGCTTCCGGGGAATCGGGCCAACCCCACACGATTATTTCGCCTCAAATCCCGACTGCAGTGCAAACCCGCTATCCTGATGCTCTGCTGGATCTTTTTTTTTTCTCTTTGTCTTTTGAAATTCAATGATTCAGAGAAAAATATACCCATGGTTTTATAAGCAATTCATCCCAGCGACTGCAGTATAACTATAATATATATGGGTTGGTCCCTTCGCTTTAATTAAACTCCAAATAAATTAACATGCTTGGCATGTCGCGTGACGAGAGTCAACCTCATGATTGGCTGCTGGCAACGTCAAGCCAAGAAGAGGAAAAGAAACATCAAAGTTGTCCTCCAGCATCGGACGCAGCGATGGAGATGCGGACGCAGCATCCATCTCCTCTACCAACTATTTTCTTTTGTGTGTGTGTGTTCCATCCTGCTGGCTGGAGACTAGACTAGATGATCCTCTCCGCCGCACTCTCCTCCCAGCTCTCATCTCTGCGCGCTCTCCGTCGCCGCGTCAAGGCGTCGGCGCGCGCAGACCCCGAGCGCAGCAGTCGGAAATCCCTTCCCTACCGTCTCGTCGATGTCTTCCTCCGCACGTGGGACCTGGGCTTTACGGCCTTTGGCGGTCCGCCGGTGCACTTCCAGATCTTGCACAGTCGGTTCGTCGAGGGGGAGGGGGGGAAGGAGGAAATGGGTTGATGAGCAGACTGTACGGCAGAAAAAGAAAGATAATAATGCT